AGACGGGAAATGTCCCCCTAAAATTTCAGCTTTCTAGCTTTTCTAGTTCCCGAGTTAGCCACTTACTTACAAAAAACTTTCACAGGTCCGCACGTAGGCACCACGCGGGTAAGAGCGCTCATTTAGGAGATTGGGGCCCGTACGTCCAGATAGACTAAGCTCCCAAAATTTCAGACCTGTAGCTTTTACAGGTCTTGAGATGAAAAAGCGGTACAGATGCACACACACACACATGGACGCACAGACAACCCCTCGTCAATGTGGGCTTTCTGCACTGCATAGATGCAAAAAACGCGTAACAATAGTAATAATAACTGTTATTATTACCATTATTATTGACAATAATGGTAACAATTACATGAATTATGTCTGCTAATTATGCGCAACTTAGCTACTGTGACGAAGCCAGCAATGCTAATCTACCAGTCCTACACGTGAATGTGTCAAGACTGTTGAGACTAATATATGTGAAGAAACACCCAAAATTTAGAAAATATTTACATTTTAAAAGAAGTACATCATCTACTCACAACAAATTTTGCCAGAGTACTTCCCGAATTCTTTAGATATTTTAATAAACAAAACCGGAAGACAGACAGTATCTGCAGACTTTTGGCACCTTCGTTGGCAAACTGGTACTAGAACGTACCAGAAGTGGAATCTACCATCATCTTGCTTGTAAGCAACGCTCAAAAAGAAAAACTGCCGAAAGTCTTGTCATCGGATGGTTGCTATTCGTCCTTGTTTCTTCAGAAAAATTCCCGAGTTCCTTTGCCTCTCACGCAAAGCGAATACAAAGACGGTTTTGACTCTGACTTTCGAGAATTTTTTATAAGGAAAAAATATAAACAGTAGTATGTGAAAGTAATACCATGCATGTAACGCCAATGAAGTGTGTGATAAGTGAATGATACGGTATGACCAGCACAAATCAGCGGATCTTGTAGCCCACGTGGAAGGACCAGATTTGATTTTAGCTCAGGGATTTGCACATCACAAATTCTCGTATCATTAGCAATTTCTGGAAAAAAAATCGTATTTTTTCAATCAGAATTAAGGTACCAGTAAAGACACAATGAAAACAAATGCTGCTTTCGTGCTGGCTCCACTCCAACCCCGTGAAAGAAACGATCCCTTTTACAATTCACTCAACCGTCCCATTGGTAAATTCATGCTGTTCCAGCACAGAGTGCTGTTAAGTGTTCCAAAAGCCTTCACTAAGAAAATGCTAAAAGAAAACCTTGAAATGTTTTCGTCAACATTTCCAGTACAGTTGTCTTGTCGGTAATGTGTTGCAGTAGATGCTCCATAAAAACACCGTTCTTTTCGCCACGTACTTCAAAAGCACTGACTCCACTGCTTCTGAAAAGATGAAGGCATAAAGAAAAAAAAAAAAA